TTAAGATAAAACTGTTCAAAGCCACATTGTCTGTTTTTCTTCCTTTTGTGGGCCACAGGCTGAAAGGGAGAGGCACATTGCTCTTTGACCAGTAAGGGCTGGGGCAAGTTCAGGGTGGGGTGCTGTTCTGTACTCATTACCCTGCGTCCTGGTTCCTAGCCCAGACCGGTGTGTCGTTTATGGCTTACACTGGAGAATACTGACTTGGCAGTGGGATGGTGCTAGAGGCGCAGCGAACAGGTGCTGCAGGGGCGGTGCGGGAGGCGGTGCCCTTGTTTCCGGATCCGGTCTCAGTGACTGGGAGATGCTGCGGGTGCTGAGAGGGCGGGCCGGGCCCGCGCTCGGGAGACGAGCGGTTGCCGCGCGCACCATGGCTGGAGGTACCTGCGGGGGATGCCTGCGGCCGAGCGCGGTCCTCGCTGAATTGAGGCGTGGCGGCAAGGCGGGGTGGGGAGCGAAGGGGCGTAGCCAAGGGGTCCTCGTGCACACCCTACTGCGGAGGGGCGCTGCCAGGTGAGGGGGCGCCGTGGCGGCCGTGATTCCTAGGCCCCCTCTCCTGAAGTCTGTCATGCCCCTTCCTCAGCGCCCACGGTCTCGCTCCCTGAACTCCGTTCACTCCTAGCCTCGGGCCGGGCCCGGCTCTTCGACGTGCGCTCTCGGGAGGAGGCGGCAGCTGGGACCATTCCTGGGGCGCTCAACATCCCGGGTATGGGGTGGAGAGGGGACAGTCCAGGGGAGTCTTTGCCAATGGGACCTCACTTAGGATGGAATGGGGAAGGCACTGGTTATGGGGGTCCTGCAATCTCGGTAGCCAGCCCTCAGCTTCCGTAGGAAGGACTGATGGCGGATCCTGGCAGTGGAACTGGCTCATCCAGTTTGAGGGTACAGCAGGTGGAGAGGAGAGGGGCAGACCAGCCTCTGTTGACCTCCCAGAGATAGGAAAGATAGCTTCCGGATCCGGGACGCCTGAGGGAGCATCCCGCCCCGCCTCCTCACGGCTAGGGGAGTGGCTTGCATTCAAAAGTTGTTGGTTTCTGGTCCTTGAAATTAGGGTAGGGGTAGGGATGGCTATCATATGCTGTTTGGGGGCCCCCAGTACCCAGCCTTTCCAGGCCCAGCTTCCGAACCTGAGTGCCAAACTGCAGGCTTTCCCTTCTTACCCTCTCCACTCCTGCAGTGTCCGAGTTGGAGAGTGCTCTGCAGATGGAGCCAGCGGCCTTCCAGGCTTTGAACTCCGCAGAGAAGCCAAAGCTGGAAGATGAGCATCTCATTTTCTTCTGTCAGATGGGCAAGCGGGGCCTCCAGGCTACACAGCTGGCCCGCGACCTTGGATACACTGGGTACAGGAGGTGTGGCTGCTAGCTGGGAAGTGATGGGGACGGCCTGTCGGGTCTGTCCGTCTCTCACCCTTCTTTCTCTCCACAGGGCCTGCCACTACGCTGGGGCCTATAGAGAATGGTTGGAGAAAGATGCTTAGGCAGGAGGCAGCTTACTGATTGCCACCTCCTGGGCCCTTAATGGCCATCTTTGGCATTAATGGCAACTTCTTATAGTGTTGTGCACACACAAGTATCAAATAAAGAGCATTTAATCAAAGTATTGGAAGCAATTAATTTGTCCAGGGGGACTGAAAACAGTTCTAATTTTTATCTAGACCTCAGCTGAGCCCTGGACCATCATTTCTTCTAGCATTCATCCTCCCCCTACCACTCCCCACATGCAAAATTGTAGCAGTTTCCTGAGAGGCTACAATGTACACTTCTCCTTCTAGAACAGCTGTTTTCAGCCCACAATGCACATCAAAATCACACAGTAGGTTTTCTTTTTGTTTTGTTTTATTTTTAATTCAGAATATGGGGGTGGAGCCCGAGCATTAGTGGCTTCATGGGCCTCTGGAGTGATTCTCATATGCAGCCAGAAGCAGGCACCACTGCTCTAGACCAGAGGTCAGCTAACTCTGTTCCCAGCTGGCTGTGCTGCTGTGACTTCTGCTTATGTCTATGGATTGAGGAGGTGAAAGGGCAATCCCAGCCTTTGGGTGAGGGAATGGGTGGCACCCTTCATCCCTACTGATGCATCATGCACAGATTACAGGTGTGAGGAGCCCTTCCTGTGCCACCAAAACCAGGTTTTTGTTTTTAGCAACATTAATATCTCCCTCTCTCCTCTCTCTTTTTTTTTTTTTTTTTTGAGACCTTGTCTTGCTTTGTTACGCTGGCTGGAGTGCAGTGGCTAGATCTCGGCTCACTGCAACCTCCATCTCCAGGGTTCAAGCAATTTTCCTGCCTCAACCTCCTGAGTAGCTGGGATTACAGGAGTGTGCCACCACACCTGGCAGATTTTTGTATTTTTAGTAGAGACAGGGTTTCACCATGCTGGCCAGGCTGCTCTGGAACTCCTGACCTCTGGTGATCTGCCCGCCTCCACCTCCCAAAGTGCTGGGATTACAGGCATGAGCCACCACCATGTCTGGCCACCACTAATCTCTTATACTAGATTTAACAAATTAAGCCTGGGCATGGTGGCTCACACCTGTAATTCCAGCACTTTGGGAGGCCAAGGCAGGTGGATCACCTGAGATCAGGAGTTCCAGACCAGCCTGGCCAA